CCCCCCCCCAAGTAAAAGAGGAGCATTAGAGCAGATGAGGGGTGGCATCATCCAAGGTTTCAATACTGGATCAAATTGGCAATACCATATATTGTAGAACTGTGATAAAACTTGGTGCCTATTTAAACAGGAAAGCTCTTGCAGGGAGAAAAGCCCGAGAAGGTAAAAAATGTATTCATGGTTTTAGATTGCCAGCCATCTACTTCGCTGGGTGGGAGTTGTGTGCGTGTGTGTTAGTCTGGGTGTCTTCTCTTTGACGTGGGCAGTGAAAGTTCACGAGTGTGCGGGAAGATCAGGAACAGGACTGGCTACTGCGGCCTGGCCAGGACTCTAGTTCTTTGGGCACTTCATTGGCCTGGCCTTGCCATTTGCTTTTGTTGCCTACGGCTTCATTTATGTCGCTTCAACTCCCCGCCCTTTTTCACTGTAAAGCAGAGAAGGCTGTTGTCCCACGGTCAGGAGGCTGGACATCCCCACAGGATGTCCCCGTAAGTGGAGGGCGTCCTTTCTGCTACTTCTGGAGGAGACGCTGGCTAGGAGCGGGAATTCCTCCTTTGCCTGACCTTTTTCACAAGGCATCTAGCTCACCCCATTTATTTGTCTTCTTCAAGTATTGTAGGTGAAAGTTTGTACAGAAAATTAGGTTCCCACTCAGTTTTTCTACACATTGCTCAGTGACAGTGGTTACCATTTTCACAGTGGGTCAGTGTTCTCATAATTCCCATGAGCCTTGTGGTGTTTCCATCGGTTAAGCTCCCCCCCTCCTCCCCCATCTTCTTGTCTTTGCTTTGGAGCGAATGCTGGCTGTTTGGTGTCAGTTCGTTAACAATGTGAGGGAGCACACTACTGGGTTCTACGGCTTGCTTTATGAGCTGTCTGTGTTTGCCCAAAAGGTGACCCCAAGGAGGAGCTTCGATGCCAAGTTCAAAGGGTGACAATCATAGGGGCTGCTCCAGGCTCCCTCAGTCCAGTAAGTCTGGTCTTTGATAACATCAACCCTGGTTTCCTTGATCTTGTCCTTCCTCAGGGAGCACTGACATTTAGGTTTGTCCGCAGAACCCACTGTGGCTCAGATTCCGGAGGAACAAATTATGATTGTGGTTGGGGTTCCTCCCTGTGGCCGGCTGCACACATCTGAATCTTCTTAAGCAGGGACGGTGCAAGAGCTAGCACTTGTTGAATAGTCAATTCGTCAGGAACAAGGACCTTCATGGTACTGTGCAATTCCAGTCTTACACCAACTAGGTGGAGAGACCTTCCATGATCCTCATGAGGAAAGCATGACCCAGAGAGAAGTTAAGGGGCTTGGCCAGTGGTGTATATTTTCCAAGTTTTGTAGCCAGGATTTCTATTCAAGCCTCTTCCTCCAGCGCTCATTCGTGCTCAGCTCTTTAACAGCCAGAATCCACTTTTATCAAGTGACGGTAGAGCAGTGTCCTTCATGGGAGCTTTTCCACTTGAGCACAGGAGCTGTGTAGTATCCAGTCCTGTATCTTATTGTCAGGTTTCATTGATCTCTTTAAGCTGTATGGTTTCCCAAACTCCCCTGCCTTCTCTTTCTCCACTCCCTTCTAAAGTGAAATTGATACTTTGGAAGAATACCAGCTAACCTTATTTTTACCCAGAATGTTTCTTATTTGAGGTTTGTCTGATATTTCTTCACGATTAGATTTAAGTTGCCACTCACAGGTGGACTGCACATAGTAGTTCATGCTTCTCGGGCCATCGTGGCTGGAGGCACGTGATGGCCACCTGATCGTCATTGGCGATGTTGATTTTGATCAGCCGCACAAGTATTGTCTGATTCCCACCTCCCCAGCCCCCACCTCTGTTCAATGGTGGGTCTTTTTTATTGTAGTTAATGAGCAGCCTGTGGGGAGACAGTACTTTGGGTTAAGCATTTGGCTGCTAACCCCAAGGCTTACCATTCAAAGCCAGCGGCTGCCCCTGCGGGGAAAGATGAGGCTGTCTGCTTCCGTGAAGAGTCATCAATCGACTCGGGAAAGCCATTTAGGGTTGCTAGGACTGTGAATGAACTCCACGGCATTTTGTAGGGGGGTTGGGAGATACACTAAGACCATGTAGCTCCTCATTTACATCACCAAGGGATCCTACGCCTGATAGAGATGGGTCTTGGATAGATGGGTCTCTATTAGCCTTAAAATCCCTTGATAATCCATGACTGCCTGAACCAGTCTTCTATTTATTTGTGGTGAAAGTCGCAGAACATAAAATTAACCATTTGAAAGTGGTATTTGTGATATTCACTTTTTGGGGAGAATACCGTATTTTTATTCCTAGAGAGCCCTTAATGCTCATTAAGCAATCACACCTATCCTTGCTCTCTCTTAATCACTCATTACTTTGATGGTTGCCAAGTGATGATGCCCGCCTCTAGCCCGCCCTCCGTATGGATCAGTTCATCCGTAGCATTAGACTGGAATCAAGAGCCTTGCCCTCCCACCCACCACATTTCCACATTTACTCACCTAGCTTTGGTTTTGTGGATTGCCTATCTACTCCTTTGGCCTCTAACTTATTAATTGTTTTGATGATCAGATTGCTCTAGATTTGGCCTGCTTGGTGATATGCTCACATCAGTCAAGAACCCCTCTCTGCGTTAGAGGAAATGGCATTAGAGCCCAAGATTTAGGTGTGCTAGATGCCCTTGCTTCTAGACTTGTTCAGTGGAAACAGTTAATGTATATGTGTACCCAATATGCATGTTATTATGCATATATTCTTACACACTTATTTATGATTGGGTATTCCCAAGACATGCCTATGCATATACATATTTTAGAAGTTTTGGATTTTCATCGATACTAAATTCCAGTTCATTACCATAGGGATCTTTCTTGCCTACTCCCATCCTTATTTTCCCCTTCTTCCACAGTTAAAACTTAGAAAGCAGAAAATAGGATTTTTTTGAGTGTAGGTTAAATTTGTTTCCTTGACATAGATGAGGCCAAGTTCATTCTGCAATGACTGGTTCCACAGAAATCAAGGAAGGAGCAAGCAAGCTGTCTCCAGTGTGGTCAGGAACAGGTAGACTGGCCCCTAATTACTTTAGGGTAGCTCCTTATAAACAGGGGCCTTATCTGGCCATTTGATTCTTCATATGGGCAATTAATGGAAAATGTAATGAAGATTTTTGCAAAGATGCTGTTAAATATTTTCAGAGTTCATATTGGTGATGTGAGCATAGCTTTAGGATCTTATCCCGTCTCTGGTGCTTTGTTTGGGAACTGGTCATAGCCAATAGTTAGGAAGAGATGTAATTCCCAAGCAGTTTGTTCTCTTCTTGGGTCTTTTGCTGACTTGAAGGAAGTATGGGGAGCCTTGTGTGTTCCTCCTTGGCCTAAGTTTCCCAAATGTATTCCCCTCTGATTACTTACGGTTGTCGTTTTCTCAGGGCGATAATGGATATAGAAGTCCGAGGAAACAGAGAGAGAATCATTCCTGCAGAAATACGTTTCCTTGTTCTCTCGTACAAGAGGCTGCTGTTGTCTAGAGAGACACTGTAAGCTTTGGAAACACGAAACACACTTTCCTTCCCATTTTAGCAAACACATCGATTCTCATTTTAGTACACCTTTTTAATGTTACGGATCTCCCTTTCCTCTGTGCCACTGTGCCAGCTCGCAGTTCACAGGAAATGGTAGGACACCCTGGGTGGTACAAATGAGTGCTCGACTGCTGGCCAGAAGATTGGTGGTTCAAACCCACTCAGGACCCTGGGAAAGTAGGCCTTGCAGTCCACGTCCAAAAGGCTAGCGCCTTGGAAGCCTTGGGGAGCAATTCCGCTTTGCGTGAAGGAGTCGTCTTGAGCTGGCATTGCCTCAGTGACGACAACAACTGTTGCTGTGAGCATGTCTAGACAACGGCGCAGCGTCGGTATAGTGAATGCCTGTTAATGGCAAAGCCCCACCTGTGATGTGGTGTACACCACAGTCTCTCAGGGTATGGCTTTACTAAATTTATTTCATAAGAGATTTTGCTCTGTGTATATAATTGGTAAGCAAATGTACATTTGTTTCAATCAGTGCCCCATTTAAAGGAGGTAAGATGATGTAGACAAAAGAGCAAATAGAAAAAGCTTTAAGCCCTTACTCTTGTCAGTTCAGTGTGACTTTGGGCACGATCTTCGTGCATCTTCAGACCCGTAACATGTTAAACTGGGAGTACTACTGTGTGTGCAGATCAAAGGGGGCAGTACTGTGTAACTGGACAGTCATCTGCCACGTGGTAGCTTTAAACTGCAGTGGTTTATCACTGCTTTCTAAGATGAATGCTTGTTAAGAATTTAAATGCTCCAGGAGCTGATGCCAGGGGCTTAGGTGGAGAGCAAACGTTTTGAGAATGAAGAGGGCAATGAATGTACAAATGTGCTTTACACATTCGATGTATGTATGGATTGTGATAAGAGTTGTATGAGCCCCTAATAAAACGATTAAAAATAATAATAATAATTAAAAAAGAATTTAAGTGCTCTTTTGGTGAGAGCTTTTAATATTGACTAGTGATGATAAACAGTGGCCGTAAACTCGTTTTCTGTCTCCTCCGTGGCTCGTTTCCAGGCTCCATATAATTGGGCAACTGTTGGCCACTTACGGCAGCAGGCAAGGAAATTGAAGCTAAAAAGCACAAACTGAATTGTGTGTGTGTGAGACGGGTGTGTCCTCATGGGCCTCCAGGGCAGGCCCATGGACAGGCCTGTGGCCCCTTCATTGCCCAGCCCACAGGCACAGGAGCCGAACATGGGACCGGACTTGCCTCCGTCTGGGAGGAAACTCCGGGGAGGGAAAGAGATGTCGGCGCGTGACGCGGTGGCGCGTTGTAGATCTGTGCGTCTGGCATGGTTTCTGCTTGCCCGGGTTGTCCGACCTTTGGGGATCCCACTTGTGCCAGTCACATGGGCTGTCGAGTAGCATTTCTAATTTCTAGCAGAATCCTTTTGCTGGTTCAATTTATTTAATTAGGGCTCTTAAAAAAAAAAAAAGAAGTGTTTTTTCCTCTGTTTCCCCTTTCCTCCAACCAACCCAAGGCCCAGCCTCATTTTCACATGTTTGTGAAGATTAATACTTACCGGATATACTCGAGTATAAGCCGACCCAACTATCAGCTGAGTATGTATGATAAATCTCTAGAGATGGAAATCACGAATTTGTTTCTGCATAGACTACACATATCATAGTGAAATAAGTCAATTTACTTTTGCATTCTTTTGCCTACAAGATATTACCCGTAAATGTGAAGTGGTTACTATTTTAAGCAATAAGGCATTGAAGCACCAATTTGACTGTAGATCACGTAGGTGCTGGTCTTCCATTTAATGTCACAAATCAGTGAATCACGGTAGTCATCCCCCCAACACTTCACCTTCCTTTCTCATACTTTTCTTCCAGCAAACAACTTCGAAGAAAATGCCAGCTGAAGTGTAACTAAGTGCAAAGGGGCGCTTCAGTTTAATAATGATAAAAGAACTGATTGCCCAGTGACCAGTTCAGAGTAGCTAATTTACTGTGACTTATTTTGTAAAGATTAAGAGCTTAAAGACAATGATCCGATTCAGTCTAATAGATTATTCATCTCCTTGCAGCAGTGCACTGTAAATTGGGTCTCCTCAAAACTCACTCTAAGCAAGTGCGTCGGGTCTGTTTCAGGGAGCACAGGAACGCTTTTCTGTTCCCTTGACAACTAGTGCTTCTCGGTGAGTGTCTGCCTTGCCCGGCAGACTTGCAGTAGTAAGTCCTCGGAATTGGGTGACTGGACTTTGAGTAATCCAAGCCATCACATTATAGTGCCAACCCTCGCTGGGGACTGTTCCGTGTCAAGGAAGGCTTGCGAGGTGGCCTGCATACCCGCTTTCACCCCAGCGCTCTGTAGAGTTAGTGAGGGGACCTAGGTTTGGGTTTCTGCTCTACTTCCAGCTCCCATTTCCCCCCTCCTTCCACAGGAAGCCAGCTGTCCGTCAGCTACAATATTTTTCGAGAGCCAAAGTGTTTTTCACGTATAAGTTGTTGCCTCTTTCAAATGGCCGTGGCAGGGACACCATCGGCTTTTTAGACCGTGAGCCTCTGGAGGCGATCCCCACCTTTGTTTGAAAGCTCATGTTTGAGAAGGGCATCAAAGAAAGAGCTCCACGTTTGTCTCACTTGTCAAAATGTGTGTTTTATCATCTAAGATAAGATTTCTGCTTGACAGAGATCTTATTAAAATTTGCCCACTAAGAATGTTTTAATTCTGATGATAAAAAAGTAGAGTTTAGTAGAAAGTACATTTATTATTGTCTCTAAGTTTATAGAGAAAATTTTGTAGAATTAAAAAAATACTGTTTTAAGGGATTTCTTTCATTTTCGTATCTTTTTAAATGTCTTTTAGGGCCTTTTTTGATATGCAAGTGGTCACGCTTACCAAGTAGCTTAATCTGGTAGTTGAATTGTATTGGGACATTTCTTCTTACTTTGGTTACAGAACTAAATAACACAGAACAGTATTTATATGCATTATTTTTGTAATATGCATTATTTTTGCCAATGTTTCACAATCGTTATTTCACAGCTTACATTTATAGCTAGCTCTAAGAGGAGGCATAGTTACTTGGCTGAATAAAACAGTAACTGTATCTGATCCTCATCCTTTCAGTTTTGTAAAAAATGACTGCCTCGGATTAGTATGCCCTCTTTACTGGTTTGAGGCTGTCCAGCTTCGCTGGGCATTGGGTCCAATGGTCAGTTTGCTTTTCTCTTGCGACTTGTTAGTGTAGCAGCCTGATATGCTGATTTGTAAAAAAGATGCATGAGGAGCTTTGGTATTGAGCTGTCAAAATAAACTATAAATATGCATTATTTTGAGCACCAAGATAGTACATTTTAAAGTATTAATGCCAGGGTATGTACATTATATCCTTGTGACTGTTGGTTATCGCAACCTATGTGTTCATGTTTGCACGTCTGAGGCCAGGTGCAGTGTCCTTCCAGGGTGCTCTGCCTGTCCCCAGTTTGTAAGACTGTTCATCTTAAACAGGGGGAAATACTGAGTCGGAGATCAGGGGACTCTGCTTGCCCCCAGTTTGTAAGACTCTGTTCATCTTAAGCAGGGGGGGAAATACGGAGTTGGAGATTTTCTGGTAACGAGTCTTCCTTGTGTAATCTTTCAGGCGGCCTCCTGATAGCGTCTGCTCATTTTGGTGCATATGTCTGTGGGACAGACATAGACTACAACACAGTTCATGGCTTGGGTGAGTATAGGTTCCACACAGTATTACAACCTTTAGGTTGTACTGAATAGTTTTACGTGGTATTGTACCTGCGCATGTTCATTTTTAACGTTCAAACACAAAGTTGTGATAGAACTTGACAACACTGAGACGTGATTGGGTGTCGAGTTTCTGTCAAGAGGGTTCGGTGTGTGCCAGTGATGTCCTTGGGGAACGCAAAGAGAAGCGAAAGGAAGCCCTCCTGCAAGAGAGCGAGCAGTATGTGGGCCCGCTATGCATAAGGTTGTAGACTTTAGGTTTGGGGGAGAAGAAGCAGGTGTAGGCACTTGCCGTTTTGTTTATCAGGATATCATGTCACTGAAGCATATACCGTTTGTTTCATTTTGTTTTTTAAGATGAGCATCATTCATTTTTTCGGTAATCATGCATTGTGCATGTACTGGGTTAATTTGAGTCCTTAAAGTTCTATATATATTTCTAGTTTCATACCTGACCAGAACAGCTGTAAAATACTCAAAGATGTAAATAGGTAGCGCTACAGATTCAGCCTTCGATTGAGGGTACATGAAGACAGATCTGCTTTGCTTTTGAGGCAGTTTTGGGAAATATTTTCAAATTTAAAGGTTTCTAATGATGTGTGATGGATCGGAATGGAGTCAAACGGAAAGAAAGAGCATTTCCTTGTAGATGAACACTGCTCAAACTGGTCACTTTTTCGTAGGAGTTTGAAACTTTGTATATATGCTAGCGTTGTAGTCTTGTAGCCTGAAACTTCTCTCTGGACTTCTCTAGTCATCTCATCGAAAAGGCAGGACATGTTGTATAATTTAGACTCTCCTGTAGTTTCATATGTTTTGTTAAAGCATTATGAGATATTATACTCGGTGACCTGTCCTTTTTTCCTACTCCTGTTTATAGGAAATTCAGTCATATGAGGAGAATGGGTTCTGCTTTATCAACGACATGTGAATGAGATAACCAGATGAGGATGTTCTTTGTCTGCAGTATGTTAGAGTATCCCACATGCAGAGACTTAGTCCAGTTGCCTTTTAGTAGAACAGGGTTTTGCTTTAAGTAAAGCTCTGTGTACTGAGGTTATGTTTAAAAGCTGTGGCCTGACCTGTCCGTCTCCTTGGGTAGAATTCCATGTGAGGGAAATCTTCCTCAGAGTTTAGCCAAGAAGCTGTCAGGTGGGCCCTTGGTTCCCTGTGCTGCTAACCTCTCTTGAACTCCAAAATATTCTCAGGTTTCTCCCCACAGTACAAGCACCTTTTCTATCCTATAGGGCCATTTTGTGTTTTTCTTCCTGTTGCCCAAGAGCTACTTAAAATGAGATGGTCATGATACGATTAAACCAGTGAGTTGTATGATATGTTCAGTATAACTCAATGTTTTAAAAGAAATTCAGATCCTTCAATAAATTCCTTTCCTCAGAGTCAATCAATCAAATTAGAATGTAATTGGTTCTCAAGATTGGATGAGCATTTTCAGGCAGTTTTACTTGAGGAGAACAAGGACTCAGCTCAGGTAGCGATCAGTACAGCTTACTGTGTAAAGTGCATACTTACAATACCTTGAAAGGATAGTTATTTACATAAATAAACTCAACATCTTAAATGAAAGCATATTCTATTTGAGTACATGTAGGCTTCGATTACTTGATTTATTGCTTTGAGCCAAATGTCAGGAAATAAGCACATCTCGTTTACTTACGTACTTTCTACCTTCCTCTTCCTTTTCCTCCAGGAAAGGCTAGTAGGAAAAACCAGAAATGGAGAGGCCCGGATGAAAACATTAGGGCCAATCTCCGCCAGTATGGTTTAGAGAAGTATTACCTTGATGTCTTGGTTTCAGACGCGTCGACACCATCCTGGAGGAAAGGCACATATTTTGATGCAATCATCACTGATCGTAAGTTCCGTTTTATTCAAAGGTAGAAGTAATATTAGTTTCCTAAAGTCATTTACATTTAAGGTACAAAATCAATCTACGCACACACACGAATGCTCTCTTGTGCTGTAGTTCGTGTCATCCATCGTTTCTTCGTAGTGATACGGGAACAGGGATGACTGGAGGGCAGCAAAGTAATTAATTGAGTTCGGTGAGATTTTGAGAGTTGCATCTGTTGTGACCTTTACCCCTATAGTCAGAAGGATAGCCATCCATCTCAGTCAGTCGGACAGAACGTTTATAGAACGCCGTCTGATTTTGCTCGTTGACCGGTCACTTCCTTCATAGCACATTTTCCTCCTCTGTGACAGGACCCAGCCTCGGGTCAGTGACACATTTAGTCGCCAGATCTTCTCTTTCCTCCTTACGTCTTTTTTGCCTTTCATGACATTGACGGTTTTGAACAACTTAGTTTCACCCCCTTCTAAAACTTAGAAACCAAACGTTCGTCTTGTTATTCATTCTCACTCCCAGTATTGCCTAGAGGATGTTGTGTTCTTCTAGAGTCCCACTGAGGTGCCTGATGTCTTTCTGCCCCTCAGTGGTGATTGGATGATTTTGACTCTCCGTGTTGCCTCTGTTTCTGCTCAGCGCCTTACGGCATCAGAGAATCTACGAGGAGAACGGGCTCACAGAAGGAAATAGCGAAAGGGATAGAAAAATGGTATGTCTGAAATATGAGTTGAAGGATTTGCAACGTTTTAGTTAATTTAACGTTCTTAACATTTTAACTTATTTTTTATTTCCTTTTTTTTTTTTTTTAGCCCAGAAAGCCATGTTCCTGTTTCCTTGAGCTATCATCTGAGTGAGATGTTTTTTGACCTCCTAAACTTTGCTGCTGAGACTCTTGTATTGGGTGGAAGACTAGTGTACTGGTTACCAGTGTACACGCCAGAGTATGTAATCTTAAAAATATATGTATTTTTTGTTTTTGTTTTTAATCATTTTATTGGGAGCTCGTACAATTCTTATCACAATCCATCCATCCATCCATCCATTGTGTCAAGCACATTTGTACATTTGTTGCCATCATCATTCTCAAAACGTTTGCTTTCTACTTGAGCCCTTAAAATCAGCTCCTCATTTTTCTCCCGCCCTCCCTACTACCTCCTCCCTCATGGACCCTTGATAATTTATAAATTATTATTTTATCATATCTTACACTGCCCAGCGTCTCCCTTCACCTACTTTTCTCTTGCCCATCCCCCAGGGAGGAGGTTATATGTAGATCCTTGTAATCGGTTCCCTCTTTCTACCCCATCTTCCCTCCACCCTCCAGGTATCGCCACTCTCACCGCTGGTCCTGAAGGGATCATCTGTCCTGGATTCCCTGTGTTTCCAGTTCCTATCTGTACCAATGTACATCCTCTGGTCTAGCCAGATTTGTAAGGTAGAATTGGGATCAAGATAGTGGGGAGAGGAAGCATTTAAGAAGTAGAGGAAAGTTGTATGTTTTTTTTTTAAATTTAAAATTTTTATTTTTATCATTTTATTAGGGGCTCATACAACTCTTATCACAATCCATACATACATCAATTGTGTCAAGCACATTTGTACATATGTCGCCATCATCATTCTCAAAACACCTGCTTTCTACTTGAGCCCTTGCTATCAACTCCTCATTTTTCCCCCTCCCTCACCGCTCACCCCTCCCCGCTGAACCCTTGATAATTTATAAATTATTATTATTTTGTCATATCTTACACCATCTGACGTCTCCCTCACCCACTTCTCTGCTGTCCGTTCCCCAGGGAGGAGGTTATATGTAGACCTTGTTATCTGTTCCCCCTTTCTCCCTCTCCTTCCCTCCACCCTCCCGATATCGCCACTCTCACCACTGTTCCTGAGGGGTTCATCTGTCCTGGATTCCCTGTATTTCCAGTTTCTATCTGTGCCAGTGTACATCCTCCAGTCCAGCCGGATATGTAAGGTAGAATTGGGATCATGGTAGTGGGGGGTGGGGGTTGGAAGCATTCAAGAACTAGAGGAAAATTGTATATTTCATCATTGCTACACTGCACCCTGACTGACTCATCTCCTCCCTGCAGCCCTTCTGCAAGGGGATGTTCAATTTCCCACAGATGGGCCCTGGGTCCCCACTCCGCACTCCCCCTCATTCACAATGCTATGATATATTTTTTTTTTTGGCCTTTGATGCCCAATACCTGATCCCTTCGACGCCCTGTGATCTCACAGGCTGGTGTGCTTCTTCCATGTGGGCTTTGTTGTTTCTCAGTTAGATGGCCGCTTGTTTATCTTCCAGGTTATAGGACCCCAGATTCTATATACTTTGACAGCTGGGCACCATCAGCTTTCTTCACCACATTTGCCTATGCACCCGCTTTGTCTTCAGCATTCGTGTCGGGGAAATATTTTATTTTCAATGCCATTTTTCTTTTTTTTTTTAATTTGACTTTTTTTTCCCCCCTTAGTCTTATCTCTCAGGGTTAAAGCTTTTGTTTACAGACAGTTACATATAAAACAGTCCCCTTATCTCACTTGAATTGATTTTATCTTTTTACTGTGCATCAGCAGTTGCAAAGTTAACTTGTGGAATAAATCTGGTCTGTTGAAAATGTTTTTGGCATTTTTACAGGGTTCCTTAAAAAAAACAAAACAAAAATGTGTGACAGAGAATTCATATATAGCATACAAATACTAACTAACAAAATTTCGCCTACCTCTATTGTACATCACCCTTAGCGCAGTGACTGATTTACCATAGCTCTTTTGTCAGGCCACCAACAAAAGTCCTTCATAATCATTTTACTTACTTGATCAACATAAAAAATTCCTCAACATGCCTGCTGTCTGCTCTGTCCACTGCTCTGCCCTTCTCTCCCTGGAGGCACCGCACGTGCTCGAGTGTCTGCAGACTATCACTGTGCGGGCCTGCCTCTGAGGGGGGCCTGTGCACTGTAAGCAGGAGGCCTGGGGAGTGGCACGGGAAGACCTGTGGAGCAAAATTTTAGCTAAAGATAAAGTAAAGCTGATTGCCATTCTTCTCTCATCTTTTGTTTAAAGTTGGAATTCCATATGGCTAAGAATGCCTTTGGCTTTTCTAATTTATTCCTTCATTTTTAAGCCAGTACGATTGGAGGCACTTTTAACCACTCTTCAGTTTTCAAAGATGTTGTAAGGTGACCACTAGATGTTTCCTGGGTGACTTCTTTAATCCAGGGGAATTTCCAAATGCATATACCCAAAGGGACATTGTACAGGGAGAAGTGGGAGCCGTGCTTTGGATCGGTTCCCCTGGTAATTTTTCTTGTGGATGATGCTACTCTCCCTGTTGCAGGCATCCTGTAATCTCACTGTTCGCCATGGCCAACCCTGAGAAAATGGGAGTAGGGACTGAGTGAGGGTTCTGGCCCCTGGTCTGTGGGACTGCCACCCTCCTGTCCAGACTTACCTGATTAGTTCACGGAGTTTTCATGTCATATTAGAATACAACACAAAATGTAGCCCCCAAGACCACCCCCAGGCTCCGCTTTACCAGCAGGAGGTTCGAGGGACCAGAGGAGGAAGGCTGCTGCTGTCTGCTTGCCTGGCGTATTCACCCCGGGGAGGGGAGGGGTTGGCTCGGAGAAAGAGTCCTCGTGCTTCCATCTCCTTCCAGGCCATCTTATTAACTAACGAGTTACTGGTCAGAGGGCTCCGAGGCAGCGCGTTTGGTTGTTCAGTTTTTATTGTTGATTAGCTTCCTGACGAAGTGACTCCTTAAACTCACGTTTATCATAGAATGACATTTTTCACTTTTGCAGCATGTTTCATTCAAGATCTTTACTCTTCAAAAAAATAACACTTTATCAAGATGAAATAGCAGTGAGGAAGCGGCTCCCACAGGCTTCTACCGTCCTCCTTCCTCTGGGCTAGAGTCCCCGCTCCAGTATGACTGACCTTTTGCGAGCATTCAGATCTGTGCAATTACAGTTGATGTATGGATTGTTATAGGAGCTGTAAGAACCCCCAAGAAAATGATTTATTAAAATTTAAAAAAGAAAGAGAAAAAAGATCTCTGTGCACTTACCTCTTGTCATGTGTGTTCTGTCCGCGTTGCTTGATGCACCCTTTCCGTAGCTGGTCAACTTCCAGTTCTGCTTCAAGGCCAGCTTAAGTGTGGTGACCCTCTTTCCGATGCTTCTCTAATCAGCTCCTCATCTGTGTTCTCCAAGTGTTCGTTCTCACCGCTCAGGCTGCTGTAGACTGATGGTTTGTGAGCTGGTCACCCACCATTTCAACTGCTTGCTCATATCGTTGAAGACCTGGGCCGTCTGTGTTTGGATGGTGCATAAATTCAACTCCCATGTGTTAAAACGTTTTAGGAGATAGTCCTTAAGGTGTACTGAGCGAAGATAACTGTTTGCCCACTTATCATAACCTGCAAAACCGTGGTTAGCTAGTTGTTACCAGGTGCAGATAATTCTGTCATCTGATTACAAACTGTGTGTCTTTGTGAGAGATGACGTGTAGTAGACATTGGAAACTGGTGCCAGGGGTAAAAGTGCTGACAGTGAAGAGGCTTTGTTAATGTGACCCAAAGTCGGATTTGGGGATGAATCTTAATTGTAGCCAGCTCGACATTGTGGTCACGCAGATGAATGAAGGGAACATGTTTTCATCTTGAGGCAGGACACAGGAAAGCGTGATTCCTGAAACGTTTCAGCAAGTGCGTCAATCAGTGTAAAACCTCTCAAGTGGGGAATAGAGCTCCAGCGACATTTGAAGAGTCGTTAACTGGAAGCATGAGGATAGTGGCAGGGAAATGAGTCGATTAAAATTGATTGATGCATTTCAAAGCTAGGAGCCCAAACACATTTTTTGGTTGTTGTTTTATGCTTTGAAACGGTGGACATATGATTTAAACAAAACTTGCCCTTTTAAAATGTATGATTCATGTTTTTTTAATATTTTCAAAAAGTTGTGCATCACCACGGTCTGATTCCAGAACCTTTCCATCACGCTCGTTACTGTTAGCCTTCCTCCCTTCACACCCCGACTCTCTCTCTCTCTCTCTCTCTCTCTCTCTGGACTTGCCTCCTCCAGACGGACTGAGGTTTTCAATAGATCACGTAGCTAGGCGGAGGACAGACACAACAACAGGTAGTGGAGATCGGATTCTTTATTACCATAATAGTACTGTTTGCATATAAGTTTCTCTCTGGTTCAAAATTTGCAAAAAGTCCATTGGTATGAAATATATTAGTACATATGCAATGAATAATTTTCCTATCTTATTTTGGAACTACACTGTGAAATTGATTGGTTCATTAAGATTCTAATTTAGTGATGTCCATTCATGTAAAGTACTAAAGGGATAAAGTTGAAGAGTTTAAAAGCGCGTTTTTCTTCTGTTCGGCCAAACTGGCAACTTCATGTCCGAAATTTATCATCGTTCGTTTCACTAATAACCGTTTTGTATTTTGAATTTAATTTATGCATTTGTTAGGGTTTCGTAGTTTTTATCAATTGGTTACGGTTTTCTTAGTTGCACTAGAGAGAGAGCATTAAGAGCTTATATGTGGTTTAAGTAGACATCTTAATGAAAGAATAATTCTGAGTCCTTCGGGACATTGGTGTTGTTTCCCCCATTGAATGGGCTCATTACCGAGGGCAGAGGTGCCTGCAGCAGCCCCGGGTGTAGGACGCAGCCCGCACCACGCAGTGCTCCTGACAGCCCTGCGCTCTCTCCTCAGATACACCGAGGAGATGGTGCCCTGGCACCCCTGCCTGCAGCTCATGAGCAACTGTGAGCAGAAGCTTTCCACTCACACAGCAAGGCGCTTGATAACCATGGAAAAGGTGAAGACATTTGAGGTAAATAATACTAGTATTTTCAGGATAAATTCTGAGAGTCAGAGGTACATTTTTCGGTCGACATAGTTTTCCTTTAATAAGGTCTAGGAATATTGCCCTTCATTTTGCTTTAAATCATGGATGAATTCAGGGTGATTCAGAAGTTAAAGAGCCTTATGGTGCTTGGTTTGAGGTAGACCCTTCCATATAGTTCATGTTGTGGTGACCCCCAACCATAAAATTATTTTCATTGCTACTTCATCGCTGTAATTCTGCTACTGTTTTGAATCGGGAGACCCCTGTGAAAGGGTCGTTCAACCCCCAAAGGGGTCACGACTCAGGTTGAGAACTGCTGTGTAGAGGATAGGAGTCGGACATAGAAGCTGATAAAAGACCAGGAATAGAAGCCAACCTTAACTTCTCACACTTTGCTTAGAATTTTTTTGCTAACTCGGTTAGAGAACAGAGTACTCTCAGCGAAATGGTTACTATTTAATTTGCAACCTTGAGGTGCTGTTTTTCTCCAAAAGCCGATCCTATTTGATTGCGGACCCTAGTGAACAGAAACTCTCAGCTTATAAAGGAGAAAGTAATATCACCTCCATTGGTTGGGACACAACTTGCGTTTGTTTCTCTGTCTTACACACACCCACCCTCTGCACTTGATGGGCTCTTCTCTCCTTAGTCTTTATTACTTCCTCCTCGTGGGGGCGGGCAGTGATGCTGCTGTGGTAGCAGCAGCCACAGCAGGGCCATCAGAAGCTGCAGCTCCCAGCTGTCCCGCACCCGGAAGAGTAGGGCTGCGTGGCTCCCTGCAGGAAGCTGGCTTGCAGCCTGGGCTGCCCGTGGGGCCCTGGTTGGTGCTGTGGGAGCCTGGTCGGTATAGGGAGTCGCCTGTGGGCTGCTCGCCGCAAGCCCAGGAGTTGGAAGCCACCAGCTGCTCTGGCAGGAGAAAGATGAGGGCGCTGTGAGTTGGAAGCAACTCCATGGCCGTGAGTTTGGGGTTTTTTGTTTTCTTTTGGTTTTGGAGAGGAGCTTTGTGACCCTGGCCTGAGCAGGGCAGTGGCCATGAGACTACGTGGCTGGGGGCAGAGAGAGACGTGCCTGCTGGCATACTGTGCGCAGTCATTGCTGTAGACAAAGGGCTGTATTCTTACAGTGCTTTTGATCTTGGCTTGTGCTAATGTGCTAACTTCCCTAATGAGCCCCGGGATCCTGAATACTGTCTGTGAGAGTGGCGTGGCCATGGCAACAGGTTCTCGAACTCCGGGGAGAAGTAGAATGTTGTGGGAGGGACGGTTTGGTATTGGAAGGATGTTGTTAGGTGCCACGGACTGGTGCTGACCCACAGCGACCCTGTGTGCTGCACGCTGAAACGCTGCCCGGTCCTGTGCCACCCTCGCATTTGCTCCTATGTTTGAGCCCGTTGTTGCAGCCACGGTGAGGGTTGGACTCAGATCTCTGCCTTGCTGTCACCCTCTCTTGTACAGCTCAGGGGCAAGGGTCGGGGTTTGGGGAAAGGGACTCAGAGGTGGCCCAAGCGCCATTCGTTTCAGTTTGGGAAGAACGAAAGACGTTTCTCAGTTCATGTCCAGATGAGAACTAATGTGAGTAATGCCTAATAATGGAACTTAATTCTTTTTGAGCTAAATTTACCTGCGTTGACAGTGAAAGCTTTTCCAGATTCAGTGTACACTTGCACGCACCCCTTCTTTGCTCTGGATCCGTAGACAGGCAGGATTTGGTACTCTTGCCTGAAGATTCTGTGACTTCCGCCTGATGGTGTTGCCATCTACTCTATGAATTAATGAATTTTTCATAGCAATGAAAATGAATATTTTGTATAGTGCTTTATGGAATTCTAACTGTAACCAGGTAAATGATAATAAGATTCTGAATTAGAAACTGCAGATGTCAAGCCAAAGAAAATACAAAGAAAATTAATGGAGTAATTGCATTTTTTGGTGTTATTTCATATGATTATGCAGCCATTTGCCCTCTAATTCAGAACCTTATCAGTATAGACCTGGTTTATTAAATTCACAGTCTCCTAAATGATCTCTCTGCTTCTGTTTTTCACATGTCTACTTCTTAACCTTCAGGTAGTCCATGGTTTAGAAATGTCTGACTTATGTACAACCTGTAGTTAACAAGCCAACCCTTGTGGAGCCAATTACTAAAATCTCGAAGAAAACAGAGTGGTTCACTAAAAGCAGGCACTGCGTTGCAGTACACATGAAAATATCATTGTAGTAACGATGTTTTAGTGTATTTGGAAGTGTTTTTTTTTAGTATTGGGTAGGATATAGAAAGGCACACTATATACAAGACAAAAAATTGACTAATTGGCTTGAGAAACAAATTATATATCACTTTTCTGATTTATGTGAAAATTAGACTAAAGACTTGGGAGGAGAACTTTTTAAATAATCTGAAGACTGCATGTAAACACACCTCTTTAATGTTCTATATACTTTGTGTTGCTTTCTTGTATAAAAACTTTAGTGGTCCATTTTTTATTATAGAATAAGGTTCAGATTTCTCAGCATGACACACACATTCCTTAGTAGTCAGAATCTGATTTCAGAGCACGTCAGAAAGCTAGGCTGTGCAAATATTTTTATAAGCAATTGCTTGGTGTCTGTTATATACGAGGAGGTAACCCCCCAAACCAGAATTGCTTGGGGTGGAGCAGAGCTTGCGTCATGTACATTTTTCCTGATGGTGAGCATCAAGCAACTCACTCTAAGTTACCGCACCCAGTGGCATTGCCTGGGAAGGTTTTCTCTGGTCAGAGTGAATTTTTTCGTAAAAGCAGTTTCTCGAACCTTGTTTTTTTGTGATGGCTGATTTAAGAGAACAGTGTACACCTGTGAAATTTTGTTTCCTGCTTGATAAAAATGCCAAAGAAACTGTTGTGATGTTGAGCACAGCTTACAAGGACAGTGCTATGGGAAAAACTCAAGTGTACGAGTGGTTTTCTTGTTTCCAAAAAGGTAAAATGTCGATTGATGACAAACCTTAACTTGGATATCCGTCAACTTCCCAAATGGACGAAAATGTCTGCTTTTAGTATATTTGGAATTTATTCCACCAGGTCAAACTCTTAATCAAACTTTCTGTGTAGAGGTTCTGAAAAGATTGTGTTACAGTTTGCGACAAAAAAGGCCTGATTTGGGGCAGACGGGGACTGGTTTTGCCACCATGACAATGCACCTGCTCACGCAGCCATCTCAGTGCACCAGTTTTTGGTGAAAAACAGCATGCCTCTCTTGTCCCACGCACCTGACTCACCTGACCTCACTCTGCAACTTTTTCTGGTTTCCACAAATGGAGAGGGGCATGAAAGGACAACGATTTGATGACGTAGAAGAGGTGAAGCAAAGGCGCAAGGGAGGTGCTGTCAGCTGTCCAGGCAGATGAGCGTGAAGAACTGTTTCCAAGAATGGAATCACAGAGGTGACAAATGTGTTAAGTGTAAGGGAGAGTACTTGGAAGGTGATAAAATTGTTTTGTAAAAAAATTTAAATACCTAGCTTTTGGGGAAAAAAATCCGTTTCTTTTTGAGGTGCCCCTCATTCATATCTATGTATAAAGTATACACATACATGTCTAGGTTATGATATGATGAACACATGGATATGTGTAACCATGTTTGAAAGAAAAAGAGTAGAACTTTATATTCAAGTGACAGCTCTCTTTGAGCAGGTCTCTGTATTCATTCTATGTACGTTATAATTCTTCAGGATGTTCTTGAAATTTTGTCTTTAATATTTACCTTTAAAGGAATATGGTACTCATATTAACCAGTCATTTTGCTTTAGAGCAATTCCAGTTTTTCCCTTCCAAATGGTATCACTGAACCTTACGAGCGATGTCATCAATAGATACAGATTCAGATATTCTGCGAGAGGGATTTTCAAATTTTTTGATACAGTGACAACCTTTTAAAGTGCAATTTTGAATGACCAACATTTATTTGAATATAGAGTAGAAGCTTTGTAATCTCATTTCAGGCTCGGTTAATTAACAAATTCTCTCTGTTCCTGTTCTAAAAACACACTGTCTGATGCTCGAAATTTGCTGCATGCTTTTAGCTATTTTGTGGTTGCCGTCTTGTGCACCCAGTACCTACCAGCTGAACTGTTTACCAAGGGTTAGTTGTATTTGTAGCAACGTGATATATTCTACTCATATACAAAGTCTGTGGGAGAATTCCACTGTCTTTCAATTCTGTTTTTCCTGACACTTTTTGCAGCATGCTATATTAACTGCATACTCTGATTAAAGCCTTGTTAAAACACTAACATGTGAGTGTGGAAATCAAGTTGTCGTTTCTGGACAATGAAGCTGAGTGCTTCAGGAAAACAGGATAAACTGAGTCACTAACAAAGACTCTCGAGTGGGCAATGGGTGAGATCAGTATTGGAGACTGGGGACAAGGTCATCACAGTCTCGGTTTCTGTACCCAGATTGCTTCGTCTGAGCTAGGGCTGCTCTAGTAGAAGTTGCACAAGTGGGGGTTTTAAATGATCAGAACTTATTTTCCTAGTGTAGAGGCTCCAAATTCAAGGGGGCATCTCTAGGGCAAGGCTCCCCGTGGCCCTGTGTTGGCTGTTAGGAAGGTCCTTGTTGGCCTTCGGCCTCTAGTCGTTGGCTCCTTGGTGGTCACTTTGTGGTGTGGCACCTTCCGTCGGGCTTCACCTTCTGAAAGGAATTCAGCCAGACCTGCTGTCCAGCCGGGCCCCTGCCCACAGTTTGCTCATTGCCTAACTGCCCCAGGGATGAGCTTTTCTTCTCCAAGAGGACAACTGAGGTGGGTCCTTTGGCCTATTCCCTACGTGCAGAATTTCAAGAGGCAGAACAGAGCATCTCTGTGTTCTGTCTGCCTCCCCTTCAGTCTAAGCTACCAGGCTTCCTGGTGTGGTAGTGGATCAGATCAGGTCACCGGCTCAATCTGGCTAACAAACATTGTGTAGCTGCCTCTTTGGTAAAAATTTGAGAACTCGTGTCCTGGATTT